AGTGACCAATATAGCCACACTTCTTTTCAATAACAGTCATAAGCAGTCCATTCATTGAGTCTGTCAGTTTCTTGATCTGTTGACGATCAACTCTTTGTGCAGCAGCAACCTCCCAGACACTGTTCGGAGAGGTGTACTGTTTTCCTTCACCGTAAATTCCCACTTAGGAAGGGCCTATAAGTTCTCAACATTGTTTTTAGGTCCAGTGAGGAAGGGGACCATATCATTATTCTTTCATCTTAAAGGCCTTTACTGGCTAGCCACTCAGTGGAGTACTTCAATGCATGCGATGGACATTGTCCTGCATAAATAGCATGGTCTCCTCAAAAGATGCAAACTTTTTCCTGTACAACTTCTTGAAGAAAGTGTATTCTAAAAACTGGCAGTAGGTTTGGTTGATTTTGAGTCCATATTCCACCTGAAAAAGTCCAACTAGCTCATCTTTAAAAATACCAGCCCATACCAGTACCCCCACCTCCATCTTGCTGGCGTCTGAGTCGAAGTGGAGCTCTGTGCCCGTTACTGATCCAGCCATGGGCCCATCAAGAGTCACTCTCATCTCATCAGTTCATAAAACCTTTGAAAAATCTGTCTTCACATATTTCTTGGCCCAGTCTTGACGTTTCAACTTATGTATCTTGTTCAATGGTAGTTTGGGATCAGCGTTCCTTACCTTGGACATGTCTATGATCATTGAACACCTTCTTCTCGCTGTACTTCTAGGCACTCCTGGTAGGTTGCAGTTCTTAAATATGATCGCACTGGAGGATAATTGGTTCCTGATAGCTTCACATTTGATTCTACTCAAATCTTTGGCAGTTAATTTGCGGGTTTGTTTTCTCAACATGTTTCTTGTGACCCTGTTGACTATTTGCAACAAAATGTTTGATGCCCAAATGTCTTAGCAATTGCAAGAGTGCTACATCCCTCTGAAAGACTTTTTAATATTTGTGACTTTTCAAAATCAGTTAAATCTTTTTTTTTTTTTTTGGCCCATTTTTCCTAAGGAAGAGAAGCTGCCTAATAATTATGCACACCTTGATATAGGGTGTTTTTTGATTGAAAAATATACTTTATTTTTACAGAAGTATAAAAAAACACGATACTCTTAGTCGGGGTACATCTCACCCTGTACTGCGATGCAGCGCATAATACACCACATTACATTCAGTTCCAGGCATACAATAAATACATACAATAAGTACATTCACTCAGCGGTATGATGCCTGACGTGATGTGCGTGGCGGACGAATCCCCAGACCATCACGTCATGCATGATGCTGCTTACCCCGAGACTGTGGCCCCCTAGGTTACCCCCAGAGGCGCCACCACGTAACAAAGCAAAGCATGCATAAACTTTACGAAATACATAGCTTCAAACAAATACAAAATCCAACAAACATCGGGCGGGCAGGGGCGAAGGGGTTCACAGGCCCGAAGCTTTATTGAGGGGACAAAGACACACAAAGGGGAGTAGGGGGAAGGGGGGCCTTCAGATGTCCTCTTCCTCCTTTAAAGTCCATCAGGCTATAGTCTCTGAGCAGACTGAGGATCAGTCTGCGACAGTCATCAATGGACATCCCCTCCCGCTGTTGAATGAGGTGCTTTCTGGCACACCATAAAGCGTCCTTGAAACAACACAGCACCCAGGCGCCGTCAATGTCCTCCAAGCTAAAAGTTCCACAGAAAAGTCCGTTCAACACCCCAAAGTGTGTGATGGCTGTCTGTGGCACAAAGTTCTTGAGTTCAGGTTCCAAGGCCCTCAACAGGTCCTGAGCAAAAGAGCACTCCCTGAAAACGTGCTGAGCCGTTTCCTCGTGGATGATGCAGAAAGGGCAGTGTCTGTATCTGCTCAGGTTCCTGGCATGCATAAATGTCCTGAGAGGCAAGCCCCTTGGATTGCATCCATGCCAGGTCCTTGTGCCTGTTGGTGAGGCTCTTTGAAGAAACGTTCCTCCAGACAACCTTGCAGGTGTCTGAAGGCAGGCCTGGAACCGACTCCAAAATGCTTGTAGATGGTCTTCGGTTTCCACAAGTCAGGCTTGACTCCCTGTAGCCCCTGCTCCTTGATAAACTTAAAGGTATCCAGGTAGTACCAAGGAGTGTCCCATTTGTAGGGGATGGAACTGTCCCAATTGTCCCATCTAAGGGACCTCCAGAGAGGCAAAAGGAAGAAGCGTGACATTGAGTGTCCCCAGATGAAGTAAAACACCGCCCTGGTGATGGCCTTGCAGGTGTTGGGGCGTGGGGGCCAGGCCTGGGCGAGGTACTGCAACACAGGGAGAATCTCGCTGCGGTGTACCAGTGTCTTCCTTTCGATGGTAAGTTCTCTGAGGCTCCAAAGTCCAAACTTTTGTTTCATCTTCGACAGTCTCTCCTCCCAGGATTTCAGGGCTGAGCCCTCCGCACCAAACCAAACTCCCAGAATTTTGATGAAAGTCCATCTTGATGCCAAAGGGCATGGATGCAGAAGAAGGCAGGAACCACTTTCTGAAGAGCATGACCTCCGACTTCCTGCAGTTGACTTTTGCCCCCGAAGCTTGGCCAAAGTCCTCGCAGGTCTGGGTGAGCAGGTCGATGGAGCGCTGGTCGGCACAAAACACCATCACGTCGTCCATGTAGAGCGAGCACTTCACTTCCCTTCTGTCTGGTCCCGGCGCGGTGATTCCCCTGATCTCTGGATTCCGCCTGATGCATTCCGCGAAGAGCTCTATACAGCAAACAAAAAAAGCAGATGGGAGAGAGGGCAGCCTTGTCTGACCCCGGAGAGGACCGGGAAGGGGTCAGTTTTCAAGCCATTCACCAGCACCGTACTACAGATGTCATTATACATAAGGTCGACATACAAACAAAACATTTCCCCAAGACCGAACATGCACAGGGTTCTGCACATAAACCCATGGGAGACACGGTCAAAGGCCTTTTCCTGATCAAGGCTGACCAGGGCCGCATGCACACGGCGGTCCTTGATGAACTGGACCGTGTCTCGGACGAGCGCTATGCTGTCCGCAATCCTGTGGCCAGGAATGCCACAAGTCCTGGGGTGGATGATCTCTCCGATGACGGCCTTCAGCCTGTTGGCCAGAACTTTGGCGAGGATCTTGTAGTCCACGCTCAAGAGAGAAATTGGGATGCCAGTTTTTTAAATCACATCTCTCCCCCTTACACTTATACAGGCTCGTGATCATCCCCTCCCTCAACGAAGAAGGCATTCTGCCCTCCACCACTATTTCCTCGTAGAGCTCGAGCAGGTCTGGGCCCACAGCACTACATAGAGCTCCGCTGGGAGACCATCGCAGCCCGGGGCCTAAAGGATTTAGCGACAGAGTGCAGCTCCTCCAACTTCAAGGGGGCGTTGGTGGCCGACAATCCTGCAGGATCAATAGTGTTAGTGATCCTGACAAGAATCTGTCGGCTTTTGGGGAATAGAGGTCAGTGCAATAGTCGCTGACCACTTCCAACACGGCTTCTTTCCTTCTGGCGTGTTCCGGTCTTGTCTCGTAGCTCCGACAGGGGTGTGTATCCTGAGTGGAGTTTCCTGAAAAAGAAAGAGTTACACTTCTCACCTTTTCTCCAGATTCTCCACCTTGGCACGGAAGATGATGTGCTTGGATTCTTCCTCGAAGTGCTTTTTTCAAGCTCTTCCTGGTGTCCTCCAGGTCCTGCCTAATGTCCCAGCCACAGTGATGAAGGTCCTGCAGGGACTGCAGCTGAAGCTGCAGTCTCCTGAGTTCCCTCCTCATGGCACACACTTGCTGGCGTCCCCTTGCCTGAAAGAAGCTGCGCAGCTTAACTTTCACAAACGCCCACCAATCGCTTACCTTTGCAAAAAGGTTCTTCTCCTCCTGCTAGACGACGTAGGCATCCCTGAGTTCCTCCAGCAGTTCCTCATTTTCCAGCAGGGTACAATTCAGCTTCCAGGAGCCTGGGCCGAGGGCAAAGCCCTCTCCCAGGTCACCCCGAAAGTGAATGGCCCTGTGGTCAGAGAAAAAGCCGGGGACCATGGAGAACCCACGGTGCCTGACTGCCTTGGAGGTGAGCATGAAGTCGATCCTGGAATGCACAGATCCATCGGGGCGGCTCCACGAATAGTTCACGGAGCCTCGTCCCACGGATCCCACGGCGTCCTGCAGGGTGGCTTCAGCAATCACCTCCCGGAGCAGCTTCGAGGTGGCATCGAGTTTAGCGTACATGGTGAAGCTGCGCCCGCCCTCCTCTATCGGACAGTTAAAATCACCGCCGATCACTACTGTTCTCGTGACGAGTTGCGCCCGCAGGGTCTGGAAAAGCTCCAGCCGCGCGTTCTTCTCCGGGGAGGCGTACACGTTGATGAGACTAACTGGTTCTCCTGCCCACGAGCCATCTATGACCAAGAGGCGGCCACAGACGAGCTCATGGACGGTGTGAACCGTGAGACGACCTCCCCTGACAAGAACCGCTACCCCTGCAGACTTACAATTGCCACCCCCAGACCAGTAGGGGGACCGTGGGTCCACTGGGAGGACAAATGAGTGTACCTCCTCGAGGAGGGCAGGGCGCACTCCTGGAGCATGTAGACATCACTCTGCTGCGAGGAAAGAAAGGTCAGCACTGTCTGCCTCCTAGACGCATCCTTGATGCTCCTCACATTAATGGAAAACATAGATATCTCAGCCATCATGGGAAAACAGATGAAGGGGTTAGTTGGCAGAGGCTGTACTTACCTCCCCTGGTGAGGGGGGTGGTCCTCTGCTATCTCTGCTTCTTGATCGGTGCACTGGTTCAGTCCGATCTGGCTGAGGACCTCATCGAGGACCTCATTGAAGTCGGTGGAGAGGTCTGGCTCCAACTGGGTCAGGGCCATCTCCTCCTCCTCCTCCTCCTCCTCCTCCTCCAGGGTGTCGAGGTCCTCTCCCACGGGGTCAGGACCAGCGGTGTCCTGAAGGACAGCAGCCCGCTTGGTGGAGGAGGATGCATGCACAGCACACATAATAAAACAGTACACAGTTAACCCTCTGATCGCCCCAGATGTTAACTCCTTTCTGCCCAGTGTCATTAGTACAGTGTCAGTGCTTTTTATTAGCAATGATCACTATATTAGTGTCACTGGGGATGTCAGTGGCAGTTAGTGTCAGAATGCCCGCCGACTGCATAAGTCCCGCTATAAGTTGCTGATCGCCGCCATTACTAGCATAAAAAAAATTTCCAGTGTGTGTGTGTATGTGTGTGTGTATATGTATGTATATATATATATATATATATATATATATATATATATATACGTGTGTGTGTATATGTATGTATGTGTGTATGTTTGTATGTATGTATATATATATATATACCGCCATTTGTAGACGCTATAACTTTCATATAAACCAATTTACACGTATTGGGATTTTTTTTTTTTTTTAGCAAATCAAGTAGCAGTATAAATTTATGAAGAAATTAGATTTTTTTTAAATTTTTTACTGGATATGTTTTGGAACAAAAAGTTAAAAATATTGTTTGTTTTTTTTCTAAATTTTTCGGTATTTTTTTCTTTATAGCACAAAAAATAAAAACCGCAGAGGCAATCAAATACCACCGAAAGAAAGCAGTATAAATGTTATTTGTGTGCAGAGTTGCATGACCGCGCAATTGTCAGTTAAAGTAACACAGCTCTGTATTACAAAAAATGGCTTGGTCAGGAAGTGGTTAAGTCTAGAATGAGTGACCAATACTGGCTGTGTATGCTAATAGTGTATGTTAAGTCAAGTTTTGGATTGAACAAGAAAGGGTGAGAAACCCTGTCAGGATTTTACTGTTATTTTTACTGGAGCCCCATTAGAAAGATTTCCCTTCCTGCCCTACTGACAATGTTTTCCTAAATTCAGACCCTTCTCCATACATTTAGTTAAAAAATAAACAGAACTTGAACTAGTTTTCACCATTGAGTTGAAGTACATATACTGTATGCTTACCATTTTATCTGCCAAAGTGTTTGTGAATTTTCTTTTTTTTTTTATCCATGAGTGAGAAGACATAGAAATCTGCTAGTTAACTGTTAGCACAATCCGCCAGGGTAGACAATGATTAAATGTTTGTGCATCAACATGCTTTGGATATGAATTTGATTGTATTTCAGTCAATCACAGTATGAGATTGCATGGTGAAAACAGATGCAACTGATAACTTTCCATGATATCTTACAAATATCAACTGAAATCAAATTCTCCATGTGTGACATAAGAAATAAATGGGTTGTATTTCTGGATTGGAGAAGATCAAGCAGAAAAAACAGAAATGATTTATTGAAGTGTGCATGGCAACCATTAGAAATGGCACATACAAAGCAAAGAGTAATATTACACCCTGACCAGTTTCCTGTGTAGCCACGCTTTGTGGTAAGATTTAAATTGACTGACAAGAAATATTTTCTGTTTCTTAAATAACAAATATGTCATACTTACCTGTGCTGTGCAATGGTTTTGCACAGAGCATCCCCAATCCTCATCTTCTTGGGTCCCCTGTTGGTGCTTTTGGCTCCTCCCCCCTGCCAAGTGCCCCTATAGCAAGTAGCTCACTCCCGAGCCTGCCCTGTGTATCCATAATACATGGCTTAGGCCCACCCCCTGCTCCCTCCTCACTGGCTGTGAATGACAGCAGTGGGAGTCAGTGGCTCCTGCTGTGTCTCATCTAATGAGAAAGGAGAGAGCCAGGAGAGCAACTGCTTTCATGCATAGTGCTGGATCGAAATTGGGCTCCAGTAACTATTAGGGTGTGTCTGGGGAGGGGGGAGCTCCAATTTGAAGGTGAAAAACCTTCAGCTTTTTAGAACCACTTTAACACCACAGGCTAGGCTTAAAGTATAAGTTTAGCCTAAACTGGTGCCTACATGGTAGCATAGTAGTGATAGATAGTGATAGCCTCTGATCCCTCCCTCAAGATCAGTGAATAGCATATATAGAAAGCCCTGAGGCCCTATTCTCTGCTGTAGCGCAGCATCCACCTGGGTTCAGCCTCTCTTAGGTGCAGTCCCTTTTGGGGGCACACAGTTACTCCTAAGTAGAAGCAAATTCTGCCTGGCCATGGCATTTTTATATGTCAATGTACAGGGTGAACAGTATTTATTTCTGTTTATTCTCTACCCTTTCTCCTGCTTTATGATGTATGCCTGTTTTCTCTATAGCGCATGCTTTATATTTCAAGGATTTTATTCAGTAAAACAAGCCAAGAGTACAGACATGTACAAGGAGATCGCATATCAACTCTTAATGGCAGTATAAAAGGAAACGCACAAGAAAGCATCATAGTCTCTCACAGTAACAATGAATAAAAACTGAGCGGGGGGAATCACATAAGACCAATGTTCAGTGGAACAAACAATCAAAATGCATTACAGAACACTCAATGGAGGATAATGAACAAATCCTGCAACAGGTAATGATATGGCAAAAAAAGCAAAACATACATAAAGAGACTAGTAAAACTATTTTGGACCCCAAATAGGGGAACTGTAGAGATGAGGGATAAAAAAAAAAAGGAGTTTTTGAAAATGGGGTTGGGAATAGACCAGGAAGCACCTCCGCTTCTCGTCGGGAAAAAAAGAGGTAAGTGGACTATGTGCGTGTAGACTTGTCGTTCAGATACTCTGCTGAGTCTAGATAATGGAACCAACAGGCCCATGTATGGGTGAATTTAGTCCGGGTGTCATGTGCTATGTGTATAAGTTCCTCCATTTCTGCTGTATGACTGATACGTTGGAACCATTCTACTGCAGTAGGGCGATGTGTGAAGTTCCATTTCAATGGAATGCATCATCTGGCAGCATTTACAAGGTGTTTAGCTAAAGATCTATGGTAAACAGAATGGGGCAAAGATGAATGATGCAGGAGGTATTGGGCAGGTGTGTAATCTAGGTTATATGTAATAATTTTAGCAATGACAGCATGTACCATAGACCAATATTGTCGTAATTTGGGACACCAAATATGCAACAGGGAGCCTGGGGCAGAACCACACCGCCAATAGAGAGGTGAAAGAGTTAGAAATTTTATGGAGGAATTCGGGGGTTTTATACCAGGCGGAAAATAATTTGTATCCAGTTTCTTGCGTATTCACATTGACCGAACCCCTATGGGTATGGAACCAGACCATACAGCTTCAGTAAGATCTAGAGATAAGCGCCTTTCCCACTGTTGTCACAGTCTACTGGCCTTCGGCATAATATGAGACTGGAGAATGGAATAAATCGCTGAGATCATGTGTCTTTAATGGGTCGATTGAGAACAGATGGCTTCAAAGGGCGTATGGGGTCTTGGAGTATTCGGATGCTGGAAGAAATGATGCAGCTGAACATACATCCAAAAAGGAAAAGACTTATTGAGCATTTTGAGTTGCAGTCTTTCATAAGACAAGAGGACGCATTTATGAAAGAAGTGTTCGTCAACAATGCGATTGTAGGGCCAGCAATCAGCTAGAAAATTGGGGGTAAGGCCCGGAGAGAACTCTGGGTTGTGCTGCAGCGGGGTCATAGGACCCGGGGTCGAGGAGGAGAGCACAAAGGTGATGCAGGCCGCATATAAAAACAGCATAGTGAAGGGCTCACAAATGGGTGTTTTTTAAATACACTCAGGAAATGAGACCGGGGTAACCAATGGGCCAGATGTACGGGGGTATGTACCCCCGCATTTTCCAGTTTAACCCAGGCCTTTGAAGACTCATGCAGATTCTAATCCACTACGTGGGTCAAGTGACATGCTAGATAGTATTTATAGAAATCGGGGATACCGACGCCTCCCTTAGGTTTAGGTTTGGTGAGGAGGTCATAGCTTATTCTGGGACATTCTGGGACATTTTTTGCCCCAAATAAAAGCAGTACATATCCTTTTATAGGAGACAAAGAAAGAGTTTGGTAATTTGATTGGTATAGCTAGCATGATGTAGAGGAGTCGGGGTAAAACATTAATTTTAATGATGGACGCTCTTCCAAATCATGAAAAGAGGCTCTCATGCCATGTCTGTAGATTGCATTGAATAGTGTGCAAAATGGGTAAATAGTTCAGGTCATATAAGTCCGATAAACGCCGTGGAAGTTGTATACCAAGGTATGTAATGGACTTGTCCTTGCCAGAGAAAAGGATAACGTGCTTTACACTCATCTACTGCCGTTTGGGGTAGAGAACTATTAAGGGCAAATGACTTAGCAAAGTTAATTTGGAGGTTGGAAAGTATATTGTAGAGGACAAAGTCTTGTAATAAATGGGGTATCGTGAGTGTGGGGTCAGTTAAAAATAGAAGGATGTCATCTGCAAAAGCAGCAATCTTGTGTGTGTGTCCAGCAATCTGGATGCCTGCAATCTTGGCGTTAGATCTCAACTGTCGTAAGAAAGGTTCCAAGGTTAATACGAAGAGCAGGGGAGATAGAGGGCAACCCAGTCTAGTACTGTTAGATATGAAGAAGGTATCTGACAGGTGACCATTAACGCGCACACGAGTTGATGGCTTAGAATACAGAGCAAGGATGTAATTCAGCATGGTAGTAGGTATGCCAATGGTTTTTCCAGGGTGGCCCGCATATAATCCCAAGCCACCCTGTCGAATGCCTTCTCTGCATCAAGAGACAGGAAGAAGCCTTGTTGAGCAGAGGAGGTCAGCCAATGGTGGACATTGAGCGCTTTCAGAGTATTATCCCTGGCCTCCCTCCCCGGAATAAAACCAACTTGATCTATTGAGATCAGGGAAGGCAAGAGCGGGAGCAGATGATTTGCCAAAATTTATAGTGCACGCTTTAATGTCCCCTGGGAATGTTCTGGCTGGCTCCTTCATCTTCCAGCGACATTGGGCCAGCTGTCTCGCCAGTGCCGGTTGACATCTTAAGTCTTGCTGGCGTGGCTCGCATGTGCACTGAGCCCGGGCAGTCCAAGTACCATCTTGGACTGGGGAAAACTGCCCTACTGTGGTGGTGAATGACAGAGGGGTGGACTGGAAGTGGAAACATTTTTGCCCCTTAAATTCACAGGTGCCATTGACTGTCAAATCTCTGCCAGACGATACATTTTTTTATCCCCTATTTGAATTTCAGTTCATATACAACACACTGTTGATAGCTAAGTCCTATAGTCCTCCCTACAAATATTCTCATTCTGTCAACATTTTTTATTTATATTTATCTGCATTCTCCTTAGCTGCTCACCCTGCTGCCATTTGCAATCAGTCATTTACCTCTTTTACAAGACCCTTATACAGCCCTCTGAGTAAGAGACAGACAGACAAATAAATGACTAATTAATACAAAAGAGTGCCTCTAACACTGGTTGTTTCTTTCACAGCCCTTTCTGCTGGTGCTCTAAAGTCTAAGGGATCTTCAAAGCATAGTGAAGAATCATAAGGTGACAGTCCTCACGCCCCAGGCACCATTC